CAATATCAAATCAAACTAGCAAATACTCTGTACAACGCTTAGTATCATCACATACAGCCAAGTGGTTTTCAGAGTATGACAAAGATCTCTCTCAGTGATGAATACTGTAAGAAACTCAGGAAGGAGGAATTGTATAATAAATAGGAGAGCCTGTTAGCTTTCATTCAATTCTTAGTGGGCTAATAGGTAGAAATCGTTTTCTAGATGTTCAAAAGTTTAATGAATTTTTAAAACTCCCCAAATAACAAAAATTCACATTCTAAGTGTATTTTTCAAAGTATTTCTGGAACATAATACAAGTATTTTAAGCTGACGTGTGTATGTGTATTGTTCTTCAAGGATTAGGTGATATTTGAAAGCAATATTCATACATAGAAAATAAGGATGTGAAAAGAAAAGATCGCAAAGCAAAATAAAATATGCGACATTACAAGGGCTAGTGAAATGAGTAGAAGCAAAATAAACCAACTATACCCAAATGGCGAAATAAATGTTGGTGATATAAACCAGTGGTTCTCAAAAAGTGTGGTCACCAGAACGGCAGCATCAGAGTTACCTGGAGTCTTGTTAGAGTACGAAGTCTGAGGCTCCACGCCAGACCTACTGATCAGTAACTCTGGGGAAGGGGCTCAGGAATCTGTATTCTAACACTTCCCTCCTGGTGATCCTGATGTCCTTGAAGTTTGAGAACCACTGAACCATTCCAAACCACACGACACTCAATTTTTACTTATGCGAATGGACAACTGGTCTTAATGTTTATTATGAGGATTAAATAAATGGTCACAATTGAAGAGAAAAAAATAAAATGTCTTTAAAGTAGGTTTGAATAGCGTAAGTGGAGCTTGCATTTTGTCAAAATATAATTGAGTGTCTTTTTACTAATTTCATGAAACTAATATTCTACATAAGAAGGGAGAGATCCATATCAAAAACTGCTTTGAGATACTTAAAAATATTTCACATCAATATTATGGAAATATTTTCTTATTTGCAATTTAGATACTTAAAAATATTTCACATCAATATTATGGAAATATTTTCTTATTTGCAATTTACTAGTTATGCAACCTCTCCATATAGCGTTTCTTGTGTCATAATAATTATATATCATTCAGCACATGTAACCTCATCGTTATTCCAAGATTATTATTCCATACTAAGATTTTTAAGTTCACCAGAAAATTTTTTTTTAAGTTCCAAAGTGTCCTTTAAAAATGCCCTTATGAGTCTAACATAATACTCAGAATTAAAGTCACATTTCCAAATCACAAAATTTTCTCCTTTGCTCCTGTTTGTTTCACTCAACTTCATTTACCTAATCATCAACTTCACATCTATTGTACGAAATGACAGATTCCCAACCAAAAGCTCAGTAAACACATACCATAGTCAACTTTAATTATAAACAATCACAAAACAAAGTTTAAAGCATTTCTACCAATGTAAAGCTCTGTGGGAAACTGTTTTCTCAAAGTATTGTGGATGATTATTCTGAAAAAAGTAAACGAGGTAAGTTAATGTTACAATAATGATCTGGAACTGTGAGTCAAATGAGTAAGATTAAAGGCACAAATAAATCTTTCTAATAAACAAGCAGAAAACTGCTGGAAAGAAAAATATGTTCTTTGTTTGAAATCAACTGCCAAACATTCTCAACCTACACAAAGTTGTCATAAAGGACATCTAAATCTGTCCTTGTTTGTAACATGTGTTGTGACAAGATTTGACAGTTTATCAAAGAACCATAATTGCCACCTAAACATCTAGCATTTTGTCAACTGCAAGTATGTTTAGTGAAAGCATTTATTTTACTTAAAATACAACAACCGTTTTTCTCCATTTTCTGAAAGAACTGACTGAATTTCTTTTCTTCTTAGCTGATCAAGCTGCATCAAGGCTTTCTTTGAATTACTTATGTTGGAATTGTGAAGGGTAAAAGAATAATCAGTAAAGCAAGAAACTATTGCTAAAGTACTATATATATTCTGGGTATTGATTCAAAAGACCTTCAAAATACAACAGTTCTCACAGACCTGTAGAAATGACATTTAAATATGTTTGCCTTGGGAGGAGGAAAGATAAAGCATTTTCTCTATATCACAATTTTCAGTTCCAGAGTAATTTATTAAGAAATGATGTCTTAAATAGAGAAGATGTGTTGTTCAATAGGCATCATTCCTACCTGTAACTTTTGTCAGAAACAGTTAATAATAAGATAGATGTCTTTCTCAACCTACAGAGACCAAAGTAGACAGGAGCTGAATCCTCTTGCAATAGATTTATGTAAAAGAAATATCAGAGCAATAAAGATATTTCCATGACACTACTAATGATTCATTTCTTTCTGGAAATAATTTTTAAAACTAAAAGAATTTTCCAGCCTTGAGTTTGGGGTTTTCTTCTTTGCTGTAGTTGTTTGATAAAAGAGTAAAATTTTTAAGCAAAAAACATTCTGCACAACTTTTTAATTTTTCCTTCATTCTGATAAACCTCATAGAAGAGGCCTAGAGCGGCCAGCCCTGTTGCCTAGTGGTTAGGTTTGGTGCATTCCGCTTTGGTGGCCCCGGTTCGTGGGTTTGGATCCCAGGTGCGGGCCTATATCACCCATCAGCCATGCTTTGGTGGGGACCCACATATAAAATAGAGGAAGATTGGCACAGATCTTAGCTCAGGGCGAATCTTCCTCAGCAAAAACAAAAGGCCTAGAAGTGGGATAGGGAGAAAAGCCCTATTTGGAAATTCAGGAATCCCACATTCTAGTTCACACTCTGCTTTTAATTAGCTGTTAGATCCCAGGCAAGTTGCTCAATTTCTCTGGGCCTTGGTTCCTGGACTGTGAATTGGAATCTTAGACTGGGTGGTCTCTAAGGCCATTTCCATCTTTAACATTTTATAATTCTAGACAAATCCCTGGAACTTTGAGGTGTTGCAATAGCCAGAGCTTAGAGCAAAAATAGTAGCAAGACAAAAATTTCTCCTACTCAACACCTCAAGGAAAATGCAACCAACTATGGGTTTTTAATGTTTACATTAGCATTCAGTCCTATTTAGGTGATATTAAGTCTATTTAAAAATCTGTTTTGTTTTTCTTTAAAAACTGAAAAATGTGTGACATATTGAGAGCACTAAGAGAAAAATCATTTCCATTGAAGCTGCAAGGACTTTTTAGTGCTGCTAAATTAAGCCACTGAGTTTTCTTTAGAAATTACTGTATATAGTCTGGCTGAGGATGAGAATTATATAGTATAGGTGAATCTGTTGATTTTATGATAGGAAAGAACATGAATGAAGGATTGTTGACAGAAAAGAGCGAGCATACACTGTCAACCATGAAGAGTCTGAATCGAAGAGAAACGCGTGTTGACGTCAGGGAGAGATGTGATTGATCAGCAGCAGGACATTTTGATTTAGCCTTTTTGACATAGCTGTTTATACGGCTTTATAATAATAGCAAATTCAATATATAAAAACACTTTTTTCTAGCAAAGTAACATGTTTCACAGACATTGCCAAATCTTACCCATTTCTGTTGCCTCCCTCATTCCTTACCCCATTCTTGAGCTCCTTCTATCCATGAACTCAACCCAGCGGGGAAGCTCAAAAGTAGGGGGAAAAAATACATTCACCAAATTATTTAGTAGTTTCAAAATATGAAAAGTGATGATTTTGTTACAGGCTAAATAAAAATATCCCAGAACCAAATGTCAGACACACAATTAGCAATAAAACAAAATGTATGATCTATATCTGATGCTTCCATTATTTTTATGACACAGTTTGTTGCTGAAATTCCTGGTATTATGGTCCCTTCCACTTCTTGCCCCATTACTCAACTCTCAATGCACTTTGGAAGCTGTGTACTTAAAATTCGCTAACAGACACTTAATCATCATATATAATTTGTTAGTCTGTCTTTAATTATAAAAGTAATGAGTTCAAATACCACATTAATAGATGGCAATAAAATGTGACAGTCCTCCTTCATCCCCAGCTCCCACCAACCTTCTCCCCTCTCCAAAGATAATCATAATAAAAAGGATTTCCATAATGACTTGATGCTTTGATTATTAATTTTAAATACGTAAATATTATCCTATGCATATTTTTGTGACTGGGTTTTTTACATTTAAAAATATCTAGGAGACAGTTCTATCTGACTACACATAATCAATCTCTTTAATGGCTGCCTATATGCAATACATTATTTGATAATTCACCTATCAATGGACATTCCAGATTTTGCTTTTTCTAGAGAGGTTCCTATTTGTCATTCACCATCTTATACCCTGTAAGTGGTACAACACCTGACACACAGAGCGCTTCAGGAAATATTGACTGAATGTTAACATTAACAATATATGAATTCATTTAATTCATGACAAATACTGTTATCAATATATTTTGGGGGGTGTTTGTGAGTCTTTCTATTGGGTAGATTCCTAGAAGCAGACACACTGAGCCAAAGGTTATGTGCAAAATTTCCCTTGCAAAATCTACATACACGTTCTAATAGAAGGAGTTATCTATCATAATTTTGGCCTACCTAATGAGTAAAAATAATTAGCATTTTCTTGATTACTAGCATTTTTTATATGTTTATTACTACTTATTTTTTTCCTGTGAATTGCCTATTTATACCATTTTCAAACTTTTGTGATGATCTATTTCTCACTCAATTGGAAAAACTCTGTCTAAAATATATTTTAGACACTTTCTCCAGTCTGTAACTTTCCTTTTAAACTTATGCGTCTTTTGCCTTGTAGAAGTCTTATACTTTTTACATATTCGAATTTGTTTAATCATCCCTAGGAAACTAATACAGGCACTGATAAAAAGAAAAACAATCCATAAACTGAAGAAAGACATGATTGTTTAGTTTAAAAGTGTGAAGTAGGTACCAAGTAGGAATTTTCTAAAAGACCCACGGGCAATTTAGAGCAGCACGCGGCCAGAAGGGGCCTCAACAGCCGACTAACAACCGGAAGCCGTTAGTTAGAGTCCCTGGTCTGACTTCCGTTCCAATCTCAGTGGCATTGGTGATCGCTGGACGAAGAGTGCCTAGGGTAGTTGACCAAAATGCCAAATATCAAAATCTTCAGCGGCAGCTCGCACCAGGACTTATCCCAGAAAATTGCCGACCGCCTGGGCCTGGAGCTAAGCAAGGTCGTGACCAAGAAATTCAGCAACCAGGAGACCTATGTGGAAATTGGCGAGAGTGTGCGTGGAGAGGATGTCTACATCGTGCAGAGTGGTTGTGGCGAAATCAACGACAATCTAATGGAGCTTCTGATCATGATTAATGCCTGCAAGACTGCTTCAGCCAGCCGGGTTACCGCAGTCATCCCATGCTTCCCTTACGCCCGGCAGGATAAGAGGGATGAGAGCCGGGCCCCAATCTCTGCCAAGCTTGTTGCAAATATGCTGACTATAGCAGGCGCAGATCATATCATCGCGTGGACCTACATGCTTCTCAAATTCAAGGCTTTTTTGATATCCCAGTAGATAATTTGCGTGCAGAGCCAGCTGTCCTGAAGTGGATAAGGGAGAATATCTCTGAGTGGAGGAACTGTGTTGTTGTCTCTCCAGACGCTGGTGGAGCTAAGCGAGTGACCTCCATTGCAGACACGTTGAATGTGGACTTTGCCTTGATTCACGCAGAGAGGAAGAAAGCCAATGAAGTGGACCGCATGGTGCTGGTGGGAGATGTGAAGGATCGTGTGGCTATCCTTGTGGATAACATAGCTGACACTTGTGGTACAATTTGCCATGCAGCTGACAAACTTCTCTCAGCTGGAGCCACCAGAATTTATGCCATCTTGACTCATGGAATCTTCTCTGGCCCAGCCATTACTCGCATCAACAATGCATGCTTTGAAGCAGTAGTAGTCACGAATACCATACCTCAGGAGGAGAAGATGAAGCATTGCTCCAAAATACAGGTGATTGGCATCGCCATGATCCTTGCGGAAGCCATCAGGAGAACTCACAATGGGGAATCTGTTTCCTACCTATTCAGCCATGTCCCTTTATAATAGAATAACTTTGGGGTTATTCTACTTTAAGATAAAATATAATAAAAATGAAAATATACCCTGCCCGTTGTTTTCCTTTGGTATTTGATAAAAAACTCAGCAGAAAACCCATCTTGCTCCAGTGTGGCTTTCTACATTCCACATCAGGTGCATTACAGTTTATCTTAAATTGGGGAAAGACAGATTGAGAATAATTGCTGGGATTTCCTATCTGGGTTGTCACATTCTGGCTTCTTTGATGATTTTGTGAGCTTTGCAGTTTTAACTATAGTTCAGCTGCTGATTTCACACTTTGAGGGTGTTGTGTAGAGCTGTATGAAAGTGACTGGGGAAGCTTTACCTGTGAATGCTTCAGGGTTTACTTTGTTCAGAGCAACTAGCAATGCAGCCAACCCAATCCACCGTCACCATCACCACCCCTCCACCTCTGCATGCCCTACCCTCTCCTATTCCCTGTCTTCTGCACCCCCTTCCCTCCCTATTTGTCACAAGTTATTCAAGATCTATGCTAAATTGCATTAGGAGCCCTGGGCAACCCCAAATCTAGATCACCTGATTGCTGAGCACCATGCAATGCAGGAGAAAAGCTTTCAGCTTGAACAGCTGTTGGGTAGGATCAAGAGAGGAGGCTGCAAAGTGCAGCAAATGCTTCTTGAGAGGAAGAAGAGGAATCTATCACCATCTGTTTGGAGACTATGTATCTTGGATTCTCCGTTATACCTGTTCCTTTTGATTTAGCTTTACCTCCAATCATCTTGACCTTTTCCTGGCCAAATATCCTGTTGGATCCAAATAATCAGTGTACCAGTCTTCTGAAAAGCAAATCCATTCCCTGCTATGTAATCTCCAACATTTGCATTAGATGTATTTGCTGTAGCTTAATCTTAGCTGACTACCACTATGGTAGTAGATTTTAGGTGGTCTAGTAGTGCCTTTTGATTAAGCATTTAATTTTAATCTCCTTTGCTTGTATTTGGTTGGCCTCTCAGATGACTTCAGATTTATATTTAAAAATTGATGCTATTATCTTTTATAAGAGAAACCAATAAAATGTCTGCATGTGTGTGGAAAAAAAAAAGGTCTATATCTAAATATAACATGAAATTTCTGCTCTCTGAGAAAATGCAGACAGGCCCTAAAAGTTTCTAAAAAGTAGAACATAAACAAGATAGTTTTAAACAATATTCAGATTGCTATCAGACCTTTCATTTGATCTCCCAGGCAATAAGGAAAATGGGGCAATATTTTTGCAGTTCTGAAGGAATATTATTTTTAACCTATTTCTGTGCCCAGCCAAACTATCATTTAAATTTGAGGGCAAAATTAAGGCATTTTTATATATTAAAGGACTCAGAAACTTTACCACTATGAATGCTTTCTGAAAGTATCACTTGAGGATACCGAAAATAAAAAAATAAATACAACTAAGAGGAACACATGGAATAAAAGAGATAATGGTGTGCAAAGAAAGAAGTGAAACTGATAAAAAAATTTTCATAAAGTTATCATGAAGATTATCACAGTTAAGCTAAAATTCACATAAAAATTGACCCACAATGTAAAACAAATTATTTAATAATCTGTAAATAAAATTCCACATGATATCCACAAAACATGGAGGTTAGGAGAGGTTAGGGTTAGTCTAAGTATATTAATGATCTTATCTAGTTTGGGAAGGAGGTTACTAACACCAATAATTGATATTACAGAAAAACCTGAGTTTAAATATGTTTTTTAAAATCGAAGGACAGGGCTGGCCCCATGGCTTAGAGGTTAAGTGCTCGCGCTCCGCTGCTGGCGGCCCAGGTTCGGATCCCGGACGCGCTCCGACGCACCGCTTCTCTGGCCATGCTGAGGCCGCATCCCACATACAGCAACTAGAAGGATGTGCAGCTATGACATACAACTATCTACTGGGGCTTTGAGGGGAAAAAAATAAATAAATAAAAATAAAATAGAATAAAATCGAAGGACAAACAAAAGAAGAAACAAATGGGATAAATTATTTCTAAACTCCTGGACAGAAAAAAAATGGCAGAGGCAAAACTAAATAAATCCAGCTGAAGATAGGAAATAAGGAAGAAAATATAGCATGTTATCACAACTAAAGTCAATATGGTAAGTTAATCTTATAAAAAATAGATTATTAGATTGGGTAGCAAAAATAATGATATGCTGTTTACAGGAGACATCTAAACAAAAATTTAGATATAAAAGGATGATGAAAAATATACCAAGTAAATGCTGACAAAGAGAAACTAAGATTGATACTTTCAAAGTGAAAAGGAATGTGTTTTGCTGATTAAAACCCCCAATAAGTTACAACTATCATGAATCTTTATGCACCTAATAACTCAATGTTGAAATATAAAAAGAAAAATTAAACAGTGAGAATATAAAGAGAATATAAGGAGAAACATTTCCCATTAGCAGAGGGAAATTTTAACAAAACTCTCTCATAATCAAGAAAGGTATTATAGGATTTAAATAACTCCATTATCACAATACAATGACTATATATGGAAATTAAACATAATTCACATTTTTCCAGCATGAATGAAAACATTTATAAATATTAAAAATATAGTAGGTCACAAAAAGTCTTCATAAATTTCTGAAAAGGAATTTGTATAGGCCATAAATAGTAAAGTGGATTTACTACAATCATCTTGACAATATTGTGAAAAAATAAAACTCTCAATAAAATAGGAATAGAATGAAGCTTGTTTGACCAGTTAAAGGAAATCTACTATTGACCTACGAAGATATACTTAATGATGAAACATTGGAAACATTCCCATTAAAATCAGACAAATTTGTAAGCCAGTAGAATAAGGCAAGAAAAAGAAGAGAGGTAGCAATACTGGAAAAAAAAAAGGAGATAAAACTGTCATTATTTGCAGATGTCATGATTGTCAACAAAGAAATCCAACAATCAGAAGAAAAACTATTCCTACGAGAGGTCAGTAAAATGACTGCATGTAAGATAAATAAAACAATTGCCTTTTCTAAATACCAAAAATGTTATTTAAAAATAAAATTGAAGAAAGGTTTCCATGACCTAGAGCAATAAAGTCTGAAAAATAACCAGAAATACACTCCCAAACTGTAGGACTTGTACAAAAAAATTTTACTAAAGGATATAGAAAATACCTGAATAAATATATTATAAACCTGGAAAAGAAGAACAATATGAGAGTTTCCTCAAATAAGCTAATCAGCATAAGCCCAATCAAAATCCTAATAGGATTTTTTTTTTAATTTTTTTATTTTTCCCCCAAAGCCCCAGTAGATGGTTGTATGTCATAGTTGCACATCCTTCTAGTTGCTGTATGTGGGACACGGCCTCAGCATGGCCAGAGAAGCGGTGCGTAGGTGCGCGCCCGGGATCCGAACCCCGGCCGCCAGCAGCGGAGCGCGTGCACTTAACCGCTAAGCCACGGGGCGGGCCCCTAATAGGATTTTTTAAAAAGAGAACTTGATAAGTTTTTCTTAAAGTTCATCTGGAAAAATAAGTGATCAAAAATATTCAAGATCTTTTGGAAAATGTAATTAAAACTGTTGTATTGATGCAGGAATGGACACATAAATTATTATTGCAGAATTTAGATTCCTGAAACAGACCCCTGTATACTTACGAGAATTTAGTACATACATACCCTATTTAATGGAGGGATTGTGTTACTGGAAAAAGGAGCATAACTGAATCAATTCTATAGGAGAATCACTATTACAAAGTCCCTGTGGAGATGCTTTCCTGATATGCTGCCTTGGCAACCACTCCTGCAATCTACTCAGATTCTCTGAAGTGGGGATGAGACTCCTGTCATAGTTTTTTTCTAAGTATCTTCATACAGTTGTGGGTCAATTCACATCATAGTGATGCTTATGATGGGTTTCTTAATATCAGTTGTCATTTATCAACATTTAGCTTCTTGATGATCTTAACTTTTTGCTTCCTTGATTACATTCTGGAAAGCACCTCCAGCCTCTTCAAAACGTCCACTTTAAGTACCATTATAACACTATTACCTTGTTTATGTGAAGCATACCTAATATTGTTCTCACACAGTTAATCAGTCATTTTGGACAATATTCTCAGAGCACAAAATAAACGAAAGAGAAGCCATAGCATAGTAAATAACACACGCTGTAGAATATATTCACCCCATAGTTAGCAAAGTAGCAGGTCCCCTGGTTAAAAGCTTTAGTGTACTTATTGCTTATTGGCTGAGAAGTGTTTTATACAGTTGTTCACACTACATACCAGCTCCCATTGGCTGAGAGCTCACAAAAGTACTTAGAGGGGGAATATATATAGAGAGAGAATTAATTCTGCCAAAGTGGCATTAAATCAAATACACATATATATGATAAAACTGGTATATCATGTCATTAGATACATTATGCACTGATCAATCAATGATACTGGATAACTATTAATTGGGAAACCAGTTTTTTCTCATCCTGAAATGATGCATAAAAATAAGTTCTAGAAGGAATTGTTCTAAGAGAGAAAAACATAAAGCACTGGAAGAAAACATGGGTTAACTTTTATACTCTTGTAATGGAGAAGGCCTTCTGAAGAAAGATATACGTAAAACTCGTGATTTATAAAAGATGAGATAGAGACATAACTTCTGGGATTCTGCAGGCAGGAAACGGGCTGATAGATCCACTCAATTGCAAACATGTGCCAGCCTTGGAGAAAAAGGAAGAATGACTCCAAGGGCAGAGCTGCCAAGAGTGTTGTGGAGGCCAGTGGGGCCACTGAGAATGGCCCAGAGGCTGACTGAGCTGCTTGCATGAACAAAGAGGCTGCTGGAGCCACTGCTGCAGGCCCAAGGGCTGGAGCCATGGACCCAGCGGGTGGAGCATCAAGCCACAGAGGATTATTCTAAGGCCTAGAAACCTAATGAAATTTGCTCTACTGCATTTCAAACTTGCTTGGGATAGACAACTCCTTTATTCCTTTCAATCTCACTCTTTCGGAATGAAAA